GTTACTTCTTGGAACAGACTTGATGGTAGCTGAGAACGAGAAAGCAGTTGTTTGCAGAGGACTGTGGTCTTAAGAGGACAAGACAGACCAGGGTCCAACTGAAGAGGGAAACTATAGACCAGGGCTGTCAGAAGAGAATTGGTGAAAACTACCATGTAGCTTCAGTGACCTCCCAAGAGAGCTGAAAACACTCTTATGCTTACAGATAGAGAGCATGGAGGGGTCAGCAGGCTACCTAGTCTGAAGGTGCGGCAGAAAGGAACCCTAGTCCTAGAACACATGCCCCTTAATACATTCCACAAACATTCTTCAAGCATCTACTATTAAGTAAGGGAACATATTCTGATGTCAAGAAAATTACCTTTGTTTCTTTTGAAATGTGTACTATATACTACATTGCCTAGCACAGAGTAAAAACTCATGAAATGACAACTATTAATGTACTGCGCATTTTTACTCATGTTATTTGTTATGTTCTTCGTCTGTGGCGTCTGATTCCTGGTATCAGAATGTTTAAAAAGTTCATCAGGAAACTTCCAGGTAAATTTAGAAGCACAGCCAAAATATTTCGATGGCTGAGGTGAATATTTAATTCAGCCAGGAGGAAGCCTTGCCAATCACCCCTGCATCACACTTGGTACCTCAGGTCTTTGAGTTATCAGATGCCATTCTAGGCACCTAATAAAGTAATGTATGCACAATACACCTAAGCAGCTCTTTTTTGAAGACTCTTAAAAATGAATAATGGAGAATAAATGGCAAGAACCTTATGTAACGTTCTAGGTAAAAGAATTTAGTTTCTCTTCAGGAAAATATTTTACTCTTAGATTCTATTTTTAATATGAAATATTAAAAGTGTTCACATGCAAAGAAGAAAGAAAGGAAGAAGAGAAGAAAAAATGTTTACAAGTATACTCAAAAAGTACAGGTGCATGGTATTTCAAAATATCCTAAACAGTCTATATTAGGCCAAGAAGAATTCATCCTCTCATTAGGCAATTTAATTCTTCCTGAGACATTCAGATGAGGTGAGAGTCTTATTTATGTTAAGGTTAGTTTCCTCCTTTTACTTCCTCTCTCAAGTTTCCTTTCTACTTCCTTCTACAGGAACAACTTAAACTATTCTCACACCAAGGCCCCCAAACTATGCAAATATAAGAAGTACACCACTGAATCATATCTATTAAATATTTTTATTTCAAAGACCACTGAAGCACATGATTCAAGACAGAAATCATACTGCTGAGGCTCGAGAAAAGTATCACTAAAAATCACTAACCAGAAGTATCAAAATTACACTTGTTTTACAGAAGCATCTATCATAACTTAATTGCTTGATTAAGTTTCAATTTTCAAGTCCTGCTCAACCTTGGAATTTCCACAATTCTACTCTAAGTGACCAGGGTATAATTCTGGGGAGAAAGATCTAGATGTGATTATAATCAAGTATACTGACCACGTCTAAAAGAAAGGTTGTGGGAACAGAAAAGGGATAATCTATATGAAAGATATGAAGGAGGCTCAAGAATATAGCTTTCATTCTCCAGGGAAGAGAGGGACACAATCTGGCAGATGTAAGTATGATACCTGCCAGGGTAATACCAAGTGTGAGGTGGGGATGACTAGCAAGGCTTTACTCTGTCTGAGTGAAATATTCATCTAAACTATCCGAGTATTTTGGCCCTGATTTCAAGTCCACCTGGCTGTTTCCTGGCTTAGCTTCTCAAATATTCTGATATGAGGAGTCAGATGTCACAGATAGAGAACATAAGCACTCAGATCCCTGGAAAGGAATATACCCGCACAGTAATTAAGAGTGACATTCTTGTTTATATAAAAAGCAGTATGGTGTAGTGGTTAAGTACCCAGTATTTTAGAAGTATAATGGTTTCAAGTCCTGCCTATTGCTTACTTGACTTCTCTGTGCTTCAGTTTTCTCATTAAATGAGACTATAACACTTGCTTCAAGTGTTGTTATAATGATTTGCATTTATGGAAAGCATTTAGAATCCTGCTAGAATGTAATGCTCAATAAAACTATTATAATTTTCCTAGTAATTACTAAACATCTCTCAAGATTTTGATTGGAGAGTCAAAATTCAAACATGATCAACTCTAAAAAAATTGTGATTTCAGACTATTAAAGAAGAGCCACAATGTAAGGCCTCGTAACCATACAAGAAAATAATATGTCTATGTGCATGCATGTGCATAGAGGGGGTAGGGTGGCTTTAAAAGGCAGGAAGGAGACAGGCTGTGAAGGGCTTGTATACTATACCCAAAAGTTTGAATATAATTTTACAAGCATCAAGAGGCAATCTAGCGGGGTGAGTACAGCACAATGGTAGAGCACATGCTTACCATGCAGGAGGTCCTGGGTTCAATCCCCCATACCATCATTTAAAAAAAAAAATGAGGCAATCTAAAGGTAATCTCAATTTTCAAAACACTGTTATGGTAAATTTTAAACAAGTTTTAAATCCAAGAACTCACAAAACTCAACAAGATAAGGGAATTCCAGAAAAATACAGTGAACAGTGATTTAAAAATTTTAGCAATACAAGCTAAATCGAAAACAAAACCAAAATGTCAATGAACTTGACTAAGTACAAATGGAATCCCATCTCCACCCTCAATATTTCAAAAACAACAGTAGATACTGTTTCCTCGCTCCACAATCTCACTTCCTCCAATTGTTAGAGGCACTGAATCCGTCAGTTCCAAGCTCCAACCCACCAAGACAAAGAAAAGACCAGTCCTTGTCATCTACTTCTCTGTCATTCTATAGACCTGGAAACAAAACATGGAACTGGAATAAAAAGTTCAGCACTCCTGGATGTAAGCAACATCATATACTATAAATGTTAACATATACATAATGCAGAGTACAAATATGACTAAAAAAAGATTTCCCGAATGTCTAAGACATAGGAACAACAGAAGGAAAACAAAGCACCTTAATTCAGAAGAAACAAAAAAATCAGCTGATTTCACAAAAGTGTCAAAGAGCAAACATCCTCTTTTTCCCTTTTGCTATTCTAATCTACTTTCATCTGGTGAAATCAGATAAATTTGCTAGAATTGTGTTACAATAATGAATGCCATCACAAGGCTCACAGAATTTTGGAGTCCACTGGCCTTAGAGTTTAGGTAATCTAATCCTCATCTTATTTTAAAAATGAGTAGATTAGACCCAAAGCAGTATTTTCCAAAGTGCAGAGCAAAAACAAGTAATAATTTTAGTTGTTATATAAGCAAGACTTATGTATTTAATAGTCATATATTTATTATAATGTATACATCAAAACCACAATTTCACAGATTATCAGTTTGGAAGATGTTAATAATGTTTTTTAAAAGTCCATTAAAAATATGAAATAAAACAATAACACAGATGACCTCCTAAAATGCAAGATTTATGATGATGGTATAGTTCATGCCAAGCGAAGTACTGACAGCTGTCCCATGAGCAACAGGGCTTGTTTTTTTGTTTGTTTGCTTTCTTTTTGGTTCAAGGCTGTGTTCTGAATGATTGAAAAAGATGTGACCTATAGTTCAGTGAGCTTGTTACAAAGGTGACTTAGAGCAAAAGAAACAAATAGTAAGATGCATACAGAAATTCGACCGTTTACAGGAAAGAATGTAATACTGTTAAGAAAATAATGGCACAAGTCATTCCTGTACTGGAACTGAGATAGCAGCAATTTTCTAGTGCATATTCACATGCCACAAGCATCTGAAAAAAGAACCCTAGTAACAATGATAAATATTTAAGTTGCAGGTTAAGTTATATGATCATTTTATTTACTTTCACATGACCTGTCAAAGGAGCATGGTAATATAAGAAAAGGTTTTTCTCCTAGTATTTGTTAATATTTATATGAATGTATTCTTTCTCATTACCTCTTGCCAAAGGAATGAATGACAGGTCATCATCGGATGCCTTAGGCATCAACTTTGCTGGTGGCAGAAATATTAGTATTTTAAAATTTACTATGAAACGTTTTAAGATTAGATGTCAAATTATTCTCGGTAATGATGTCTCATGAATTTCAAGTGTGGTATTTTACACGCTAGACAAGAACGTGGGAGAACCATTTCTATCTGGCCAAACCTGCATTATTTTGCTAGGACATCTGAACAGGGCACCAGGGCAGATGGATTAATATCACTCTCAATTCTTGAAATATCTGCTACTAAGAAGCGACATTATTCTCACAAGGCTGAGGGAACACTATTGTTAAGAAGCTGCTAGTATCCATACTCTCCTCTCCCAGTGGCTCCCACTCTCCCCAAAGGAGGTGACTAGCAGCAAAAGACGAAATACTACTACTCCTTTCTCATCTTCTTTTTCCCAACTTTGACGATTTTCGGTTTCCTCTTAACTCCCACTTGCCTTTCCCAGCACTGTAGTGACTAATGACGGAAAAAACAAAACAAAACGAAACGAAACAAAACAAAAAAACCCAGGTGAAACAGCACTTTTCAGGACTTCTCCCCCTGTCCCAATTTACTCCATGGAATTCGTTCTTTTACCAACCCTTTTCTTCGTATGTCTGCTGTAAAGCCGCGAGATAAGAATGGACTTTCCTAGAGAGCATGGACCCTCTAATGCCATGAACCTCAGGAACCGTCTTCCAACAACTAGTTCAGAGTTATTTGATCACTGTGGCCACCATACAGTCTATTAACCCGACCACGGCAACGCTGTGGGGGTGGGAGGTGGGGAATGGGAGTCTACCTCTCTGCTCGGTTTAGAGGACCGGGTCCAGAGAACCACAGTCCCTCCACCCTTCCTCCTCCGGCCCCTCGACAGTCTCCCGGCGCCTCGCGCACACAATCCGGGCCAGCCCTGCCCAGTCCGGGCCAGAGCGCCCCTTCCTCTCCTTAAGCCCGACCCCACCAACTTTTCAACCGTCACGATATACTCTTTCCTACTTGGAACATGATCCCAATCTTCACCCTGGCCAACTCCCTCAGCCCCACTCCTGGAGACTCACCAAGCAGCTCCGGCCACTCCTCTCCAGCCGCGGCAGCTCGGACAACTGGAGGCCTCCCAGCTGTGCCCTTCTTGCGCCTGCGCTCGCCGGCCCTGCGCGCCTGCGCACTTCCCCGGCGCCGCGGGCGCTGACACACCCCTGCAGCTGGAGCCAATCACTGTGCGGGCGTTTTAAATCTCCCTGCCACGCAGTCCGGGAGCCAGGGGACTCACCCGTTAACCGGATAATTCGAGTCCAGCCCTAAGGTGGGAAGTGTTCATGCAAGTGTTCGTTTACTGACGGCAAACCGTGTGCCAGGCAACGTGCGGGATGAATGCTGAAGAGAAGAAGACGAATAGGATGCCTTCCCTGCCCTCTGTCTAGACTGGGAGATAGATATGTAAACAAATTATAGTGGTCAGAATATAGCGCTTGGCGTATAGAAAATCGGAGGCGCCGTTGGCGCACAGTAAACAAGGCGCCATATTCTTAGGGGTGTCTTGAAGGGTTCCCGGAAGGTTACTTTTGAATCATGAAGGATAAGGCGAAGTTTCCCCCGGAAGTCCGGGAGGGAGGGAGGAAGATAGAGGTTTACTTATTGCGCAAGCCAATAACGTAGAGCCGTCTGGAAATTCCTCGTAGTTCATCCTACTTAGGGGCTTAAAGCATCGTATATCTCCAGATGAAGAGAGGGAAATAAGTTTTTGAAAGTCGGCAATGGCCAGATCTTGGAAGATCTTGCGTTTCTGAACTAGTGAGCCTGCACTTTACTATGACCATTGAGAATATTTAAGGGTTTTAAGCAGGTCCCGAAACGCTTCCAGGCACCTCTGATAATAAAGCACAGTGCTGGAAATAAAAAGTTCCAAAGGAGTCATCTATTCCTAAGGGGTCAAGGAAGATGAAGCCTGAGAAATATCTCTTCAATTTAATAACACAGAAGTCATTGGTGATCTTAATGAAAGTTATGTCATGGAATGGTAAGGTTGAAAGGTAGACTGCAGTAGTCTGGAGAGAGAGGAGATGCAAAAATGGTGACAGATTGTAGAATGCCTTTGGAAAGTTTCGTCTTGAGAGGAGGGAAAGAGGATGACAAAGGGTCAAAAGTTGTTTCTTTTTCTTTCTTTCCTTCTTCTTCTTCTCTTGGTTGGAATTAAGCAAGCAGAATCTTAAGCATTATAGGAAAGATACAAAAAAAAACAGTTGAATAAAGAGAAATGCTAGTCAGTAGGTAAAGATCTTGAGCATAAGAGTAGAGGCAATCCAAAGCACTGATGGGAGGAAAGGTCTTGGAAAAAACAGAAGATATCTCCTCAATTTTAATGAGAGGAAGTATTTGTAAGTTTGTATGTTTAGTAACAGGAAGTTAGAGAAGTTCTCATATGATGGCCTCTGTTTTCTCTGCGAAGTAGGTGACAAAGTCATCTGCTGATAAAGAGTTAGGAGTTTTAAGAAAAGTGGAGAAGATTTGGAATATTGTTGTAGAAAGTGATGGAGCAAGTTGACCAAAGTAAAGTAGTAGGACTGGTAAGTGGCATTGAGGGCCTGTGCAAGATTGGTAAGAATGAATTCACCAGTGTCTGCCCTCCTATGTGGTTTTCTTAAGCAGTAAACACTTCTGGAGGGTAGCAGCGGAGAAAATGTATCATTGAGTTCATTTAGGGTTGGGATGGTTACTGGCATGCCATGTATGATTCTCAGCCAAGGATATTTTTGCCCTTCAGAGGACATTTCACAATGTCTGGAGATATTTTTGATTGTCAAGCTGATGTGTATGTGTGGGAGGTGGGAGACATGAGGGGGTACTATAGGCATCTAGTGTCCAGGGATGGTGCTACATCTCTTACAATCTCCAAAATGTAATAGTGCCAAAGCTGAAAAAACTCTGATCTCTAATTACCTTGATGCTCACCAACAGCTGACCTTTGTCTTCTACAGGCTTGGACAATGGCCCTGAGCTTATAGGGTAAAGCAATTCTTCCATTGCATGCCTTTAAAAGAAAGAATGAGCAGTATATTCCACACCTTGGTGTTTTAAGGACTTGTGATGTCACAAAGAATTGGAATAAGTTCCTCAATCCTCTAGAAGCAAATCTGGCTTTACACATAGATGGAGGGAGCTGCTTACTCTGACTTGAAGCAATGAAGGTCTTGTTAAACATAGATATTATTAGTTCAATAATATAGGAAATTCACACATTATCAACCTTAACGTAACTTGGTTTATCTGACTAGTTTTACTCACTAAAATAAGATCCTGATGGAATGGTGTAGGCTAAGTTTAATGAATATAAACACATTAGTTATTAATAAGAATATAATAACTGGTGTGGATGGATTACCTGCTTTGTGATAGGCACCATTCATAGATAGGCACTTGACCGATGTTATATCATTCAATCCCAGCAACACCCTGAGAGATAAGCTATCAGTATCCTAATTTTAACTCTGTGGAAAGTGAAATTCAAGAAAACTTGTAATTTTCCCAAAGTCACAAAAGACTAGTACCTAGGTCAAGGTTTGAACTCAGGTCTGTCTGTTCTAAAGCTTTGCACCTTCCATTAAGCTTCAGTAAGTTTTACAAGGAAGGAGTGGTTGGAAATTTAGCCGAAATAGTTGCCACTGCCTAAATGGAATGGCGGGGACTTACGAGGAGAGTAGGAGCAAGAGGGAGACTCGGAAAGAGCAGAGAGAATGAAAAAGAAATGAAGGGGGCTGGTCACAGCAGCGTCCCGTGCAGCGTACAAACTTCCGCAAACCGGCCTGCCTTCGGTCTTTCATTCTTCTGGAGCAAAGCATCTTTCCTCTGTGTCCGCTGTTCACGCTCGTGTGTTCAAATAAAGCTAGGTTATTGAGAAAGGCGGACCGCGGGGGTGGGTTGGTGGGAAAGAGAGCGCGACGGCGGCGCTGTGCGCCTGCGCTCTGGCGGCGGTGGCGGCGGTGCCCGGCAGGGAGCGGGTCCGGAGTGGGCCGCCGGCCCAAAGCTGAGTGGGGCGGCTGAGGAGTCAGGGAGCTCCCTCGCCGGGGGCCTCGGCGGCCTGATGGAGTAAGAGGGGTCGGCTGTGAGTGTGAGTATCAAAGGGCCGGGCTGCGCTGAGGCGTCTCGGAGCCCCAGGGTCCCGGTGGTCTGCCACTTTACGGAGGCTGTGGGGCTGGCAGCGGGTCTCGGCTCCTGCAGGCTGCCGCCTCGGGTCAGCCGGTTGTCCCCTCTAGAGCAGGCGCGGGTTTAGGGGCAGGCGGTGCTTCTGGCTTCGGGTACGGATTCTAGCGTGGGCGTTCCGGCTTTGCTCCCCGCTTCAGCGGGAAACGTGGCTCCAGAGCCTTGACCTTTAGGAGAGACCGCGGATCTCCGCCTCTGGGGCCGCAGGAAGCCCATAGACCCAGGTGCCCTTTAAAGGCCTACGGGTCTCAGGCCACGGACACCCTTCGACCTCTTGTGACTGACAGCCTCTGTTCTTTTTCCTCCTTCCGTCTTCTCTTCCTGTGGGATGGGTCTTAGTAATAGCTACTAATTACGGAGTTCTTATTCGGTGTCAATTTAATATTTAGTCCGAATCTCGGTGCATAATTATGGAGAGGAAATGCTTTGCATCCCACTCCCCCTTCAATCTGCTCAATTTAATCATCTTTGAGAGTCAGATTAAGCCATCTTGTTGGAAAGTTTTAAGATTTCCATGCCTTTTTAGCAATATGGGACTCCTATCCTAGTTAAGGGAAGTTCTTTTCTCACCCAGCAAACAAGTTTTTGTCCCACCGTAAGGGTTTATATCAAATTTACTCAAGCCAAAATAACTTTTAAGCACTTACCAAGAGCCTGAAACTGTTCTAACCCCCATAGGAAATCTTACAATTTGTTTTAAGCCCTGTTCTCAAGTGTGGTGTGAATGAAGCAATGGAAGACAATAGAGTCAATTAGGATTTATTTAGCACCTACTGCACATGTGCCAGATACACTCAGGCCTGTCACAAAAAAATTAGTGAGATATTGTAATGGAAGGTGGTTTTCTTGGAGCACATTTTAGAAGAGATCCTGGAGAGTTTGATGGTAATTTGCTCAAAATAATTTAGCTAGGTCTAAGTTGTGAAATTGACACAGGATGACAAAGCTCATCTTCTTGTTACATCAAATTAGATATTGTAAGCACTTCTGTAGAGAAGCACCTACATTACAGTTACAGTTTCTAGAGTTAACCATTGAGTCTAGAAAATGATAGGAGCCTTAATTAAAGATACTCACTAGATGGTTTTTGAAGAGAACTTTAAAATGGCTTAGAAGGAGGGTGTGGAGTCTTATCAGGTTAGTTCAGAACCAATTGCTTTGATTAAAAGGAAGTTATTTAGAAAGGAAAAAACTGTGAATGGTGGTTATTGTCCATCTAGATTAGAGCACATGTAATCTGAAGACTACTGTACAAGAAAAGCAAGGAATAATGGTAGCTGCTAGATAACTTGGTTCTGGGACCAGGAATGGTTCAGTGAGAAATATGCACACTGTGTATCTTGTAACTGGAGTATCTTAGTGGTAAGTTTAGGATTAATTTATGTACCTAATGAATAAGAACACCTAGGCATACAGGTTACATGTGAGTACTCCAGTTGTACATCCAGGATGCTAAATCTCTAATTGAAACCTGAAAGAAATGAGAGTTGCTAAGGGTTCATCAGTAGAGGACTGGTTAAGCAAACTATGCGTCTGTTAAATAGAATGAGCCAGCCTTCTTGTGCAAATATTGAGTGGACTCCCAAGATACATTAAGTGAGGAAAATGCAAAAGAGGGTGAGCAGTTGCAAACCATTTGTGGATTTTAAAAAGCATATGTATTTGCATATATATGCATGTATTTTCTCTGGAAGAATACATAAACTGGTAGCAGTGATAAGGTGGAGGTGTCTGGGAAATAGGAGTTGGGGAGGAATAATTTTCTCTTAAAAGCTCTTTTGTTTTATTTGCTTATTATGAAAACTTTTAAATACTCAGAAAAGTAGAGATAATACTGTATTGAACCCCATGGAAATCAATCACTCAGATTTTAAAATCTGTTAATATTTTGCTGTATTTGCTTTTATTTCTGACATTTCACCCCTGAACACTTTAATATGTGTCTCTAATAAAAAGAACGTTTCCTGCATTATACTAAATTATAATCACAATGAACAAGAGTAATTTCTCTATATCATTTAATACCCAATCCTTATTAAAATTTCCCCAAATTATCCTTTTTTGTTTTTTACATTTTTGATCCATTTTCCAATCAAAGTCTATGTATTGCATTTGACTATAATGTCTCTTGAAGTCTTTTTAAACCTAGAAATTACCCTTTTTTCCTCTCCCGTTTCTTTTTTCACCATAATTTGGAGATTAGTATAATTTTCTAGATTTATCTGATTGATTATCTGAGTGATACCACTTGTTATTACAAACTTGAAGGTAGAGTTAAGTACTTGATTAGGTTCAGGTATTAACACTTTGGGAACTCTATCAAAGACCATACTTTGTACTCTAGTTTTCCCTCTAATAGTGATGCTGACATTGATTAGTAGGTTCAGGTGGTAAGTTTAAGTCCTCCATTGTAAAATTGCATCTCACCCCCAGAAACCAGCTTGAAGCCCTTATGCACCTTTAAAATTTTGGAATTAGTGTTAAGTGTTCAAAATATAAATAATTGCCTTTAAAAATACAACTTACTTCAAGAAATTGCCTTTTTTTCTTTTTTAACTGAAACCCTGATAACTATGTGGCAGTGTTCTCATAGAAGAGAAATTAAAGTTCAGAGAGATTAAAATTTACTCAGGGTGGTAGACCTATTCAGTATTTTTGTCCAATTCCAAGGTAACGCTTTTTCTACCAAATTTTGTAAACTATAAACTAGTATATAAATGTTAAATTATTATTCTAGCAGTTATACTACTTGTCCCTTTTTTGTGTATCTTAGACAAGTAATCAATATGTAATATGGTTAGACTTTTTGCAGTATTAGTAAACTAGAATTGATCTGTGTGGTATGATAGTCTGTGATGAGCCATTCTGAAAGTTCAGAATATATGAAAGTCAAACCTCTTGATGATTTCTGGAGTTCTAAAAAATTTCCCTGCATGGAATCATTTTATAATCTGGGTTCTTGGACCTAAAGTATTCGAGGTTTAAAAAAATGTTTTGAGTTTAAAAATGTTTTTAAAATTTTTAGAAACAATGCAGCTAACCTTGAACAACATGTGTTTGAACTGCATGCGTCCATGCACATTTTGGAAAAAGAGTAAATACTACAATACTGCACCATCTGTGGTTGGTTGAATCTGCACATAGGGAAGGCTGACTACAGGTTATGTGTGGATTTTTGACTGCAAGGAGGGTTAGAGCTCCTAACCTCTGTGTTGTTCAAGGGTCAATTGTATATGTGTTTTATTGCTTAAACTTTTGGAAAGTACTAAAGATTTTATAGTGAAAGGTAAATCCCTGACCCCTAGCTCCTCGGTTCCTTTTCCCAGAGGCCTAGAACCGAATTTGTTTCACAGTATTTTTTTCCGTATAGCATAGTTATCATGTAAATCGAGAGACTGTGGTTTATTTAAGAAAAATGTATCAAGAGTTGGTCACTATTTTTGAAAATCATATCACAGACAGCAATGTTATTCATGATATTTTTATCAACAATATAACATACATATATTGGCCTGTATTTGTAATTGTCACATTCATAGTCTTATGCTGAAGCATTTTTCTGTTTAAATACATATTATGATAAATTTTCTTTTTTGTTATAGTTAGCGCATTATTTAAAATTTTAGATGTGTAAGTTACAGTAGCTCTGAATTTCATTTCAGGAAGGAGAAGAAGGTATTATAAAATATTTACAATAAAAGAGGGTATAGCAGTATTTTTAAAGAAAAAATTGTGTGGTAACAATAGGGAAAGCTGCTGAGTAGCAAACTGAGGATTTTTATAATAATCCCTCATATTTATATAGATGGAAACTTGAATCTTCGTAAGGGAATGAAGAGCATCAGAAATGGTAAATGTCTGAATAAAAATTTAGACTATTTATCTTTTAATTTCTTAAAATTACCCATGACTATTAAAAAAAAAGAAACACTATCTTGTGGCGTTCAACACATACTAAAGATATAAAACATGTACCATATATCATGGGATGGGAAGTGGGGGCAAATGGACCTGTATTGTTGCAAGGTTTCTACATGTTACGTGAAATAGCATGTTGTTATCACTGAGTACAGCGTAACAATGATAAGGGTATATGTTTTATTTCCTAGGACAACCACTGTAGAAAGAATAATGCAAAGAAGTGTTGCTAAAAAGCTAGTAGAAGAATTAAAATGAATAATGCAAAACAAGACAGAAGCAGAGGTATAGCCAAACAAAAAATAGGAGATTAAAAATAATAAAATGGTAGACCTAATCCAATCATAGCATTAGTTTCATTTAATTTAGTGGAGTAAACAC